CTACAATATGGTATATATGCAAGTACATATATAGTATATATTAGTAATTCAAGATTGAATTATTTAAAAGCAACGAGGATCCAGCTCCGACCGTAATAGGCAGTTAAATTTCTAGTATTAATTGAGTTCCTCAAATGTACGGTTAAAAAATATAAATATATTGTTCAGAGATATATACACCTCAGACAAGAAGACATCCAAATTTAAAGAGAAGGGGAAAAATGTGATGTAAGAAGGAAAAACATTCTATTGGGGCAAAATTAGGAAGAGCATTTACATAAATGAGTGACCAAAATTTATTATTATAAAATTAAAATTATGTTATAAAAGAAGAAAAGAAACGAAGTTAAGAAAAAGATTGAATAATAGGTAGATATATGTTAGGTAATTTTTCTGTATCATTCTGATTGTTAATAACATTTCTCTGCTTTTTGGTATGAATCATTTCCGAGATAGATCTTTTATAAAATAAAAACGTTCTGAATCTAAAATATTGATATTTTCCCAATCTATCTAATGACCATGCTGAAGTTGATGCAGAGAAACAACAGAATGATTATTAGATTTTCTAATATCGACTTTATGTTCTTTAATCCTAGTTTTTAATTTTCTTTTTGTATGTCTGACATAAGAGCTATCGCAGTTACAACAATTAATTTTTTATACAACATTGGTATTATCCATTTTATCCAACTTATCCTTCCCTGTTTTAATAAATTTATTTAAACTATTAATGGGTTTATATGCTATATTCAAATTATACATCTGTAAACATTTTGAAATTTTTCTGTAAAGTTTTTAACATAAGATGTAAAGTGCTATAAATTTTAATATTATTATCACTCAAGTCTTTTTGATTCGTTTGCTTCAATTTATTATTATATCATCACACGACTAAATACTCAATAATATTAAATTGAGTTATTTTATACTTTGACAACTTAAAAACTTTATTTTATCTACTAAAATCGTAACTGTTATTTCGTAACTGTTTATATCTTTATAATTTTATATATTGTGTTTATTTACACTGAAGATGGCCACATTCATGGCCGAAAAGTTTATGCTTTGATTAATTGTAACTGACATTATTATTGTAATTCTATTAATTCTATATACGAATATATTAATGATATTTCACTAACAAGATCTAGTGTGTGACATATGCTCAATATTTATTTTTATTGTTTATTTATTAGCCACGTATTGAGGACAATTTTGTTACATATAATCGCAATTTAACAATTAAAAGTAAATAAGATTCATTTGTTGTTAATATTACATTCCGTTTATTAATATTAAAGTAACCATTGATATAATAAAATTTGTGTTATATGTATATTTTCAACGTTACCGTACACTTTATCGCGCATTATTAATTTTTTAATTATGCTACTACGTAATAATATTATTTTTATTGCATTTTGAATTGCAATGATAATTGTATCATGTTTAATATACCAAAATTACTCGTTCATTGGATAAATTTTTCGTTAACAATACTCGAAGAATATCTCGTTGATCGAACATGTCTCTCTGTAAATTATTGGGGCATTTCGTTTTATGCATAATGTTCCTTGTTCATCGAATGTAAACAA